TCCTCTTCGGATCGAGCCTCGGCCATTTCGCGTCCTTTCCCCCCTCCTCGGGTCCTGCTCGGGTCCTCGGGTCCTCCTCGGGTCCTCGGGTCCTCCTCTCGTCCCTGTCCGAGTTCCGACGCCTTTTTCCGGGTTAAACCAACACCATAACAGCGCTACTCTCGACGCAGCAGCTGAAACAACATTCTTGTGCGCGCTCGGCCCCCGCGCCGCAGCGACGCAAGCGCAAAACCCCCGTGCGTAAAAGTGTCCGAACGCGCGACGGAGACGGAACCAGCGGGACTCGGGGTGACCGGGGGGTGACCGGGGGCTGACCGGGGGCTCGGTGGGGGTCGTGGCCGGGCTCCTGCGGGGGGAGGCCGGGCTGGTGCGGGTTGCAGCGGTGAGAGTTTCTTCCGAGTTTTGGGTCGCTGGGTCCGCCCCCGTTACGCACGCGGAGGGGAGGGGGAGGGGGGGGGAGGGGGGAGGGAAGGTTGCCAGGTCAGAGCCAAACTCCGCCCATTTCAGCGTAAAATTAAACCAAAACAAACTCGTGAGAAATTTTCTGTTACTGCAGTTTTTTGTTTTTGTTTTAACTTTATTTTCATTCACAAACGCGATGTTTTTGTATGTTGGAAAAACAAATGAAAATTTATGATCCTCGAAACTGATGCAGGATCAGATTAGACACAAACTGGTTTAGTCCTGGTTTAGTCCTGGTTTAGTCCTGGTTTAGTCCTGGTTTAGACCTGGTTTAGTTCTGGTTTTTAGTCCTGGTTTAGTCTGGTGTTTTAGTCCTGTTTTAGTCCTGTTTAGTCCTGGTTTAGTCCTGGTTTAGTCCCTGGTTTAGTCCTGTTTTAGTCCTGGTTTTAGTCCTGGTTTAGACCTGGTTTAGTCCTGGTTTAGTCCTGGTTTTAGTCCTGGTTTAGTCCTGGTTTAGTCCTGGTTTAGTCCTGGTTTAGTCCTGGTTTAGACCTGGTTTAGTCCTGTTTTAGTCCTGGTTTAGTCCTGGTTTAGTCCTTGTTTTAGTCCTGTTTTAGTCCTGGTTTAGACCTGGTTTAGTCCTGGTTTAGACCTGGTTTAGACCTGGTTTAGACCAGGATGCGATAAGGTCTAAATACAGGACAAAACAAAGATCAAACCAGGACTAAAACGGAACTAAACCAGGTCTAAACCAGAACTAAACCAGGACTAAACCAGATCTAAACCAGGACTAAAACCAGGTCTAAACCAGGACTAAACCAGGACTAAACCAGGACTAAACCAGGACTCTATAAAGTCTAAAACAGGACTAAACCAGGACTAAACCAGGATTAAAAGCAGGTCTAAACCAGGTCTAAACCAGGACTAAAACAAGACTAAACCAGGACTAAAACAAGACTAAACCAGGACTAAAACAAGACTCTATCGGACTAAACCAGTTGAGGAGGAGAAGGAGGAAGAAGACAAGACCTTCATCTCACTCACGAATCCAAAGAGACGTGGATCCAAGTCCCAGAACACGACTGGTGGAGCCAGAAAATTATTATTATTATTATTATTATTATTATTATTATTATTATTATTTAAATTATTTTTATTCAGAATTAAAGCTTCATGTGAACGTTAAATCCACATTTTAAGTCCACACGTTAAACAATAAGAGACTCAAAGACAAATGCACTTTGACTCTTTATTCAAAGTTTAATCTTGAATTCTGGACCCCGGCAGGTGAGACCCTGACCCTGACAGGTGAGACCCTGACAGGTGAGACCCCGGCAGGTGAGACCCCGGCAGGTGAGACCCCGGCAGGTGAGACCCTGACAGTGGATTCTGAGAGGTTCGTTGGGCAGGTCGGTCCCTGGAACCAAACTCAGCCGCGGCGCGAGTCTCTGGAAGGACAAAAACAAAAACACAAAAGATTCAGGGTTTTTTTTGTAGAAACTTTTGAAATTTTACTTCAAAAATAACAGTTCTGTGTTTTTCATGACTGCAAATCTAAACCAGGACTAAACCAGGTCTAAACCAGGACTAAACCAGGACTAAACCAGGACTAAACCAGATCTAAACCAGGACTAAAACCAGGTCTAAACCAGGACTAAACCAGGACTAAACCAGGACTAAACCAGGTCTAAACCAGGACTAAACCAGGTCTAAACCAGGACTAAACCAGGACTAAACCAGGACTAAACCAGGACTAAACCAGGAGTCTAAAAACAGGACTAAACCAGGACTAAACCAGGTCTAAACCAGGACTAAACCAGGACTAAACCAGGTCTAATCTTGGACCTGATAGAGATGAAGAACCCTGAGTCTGTGGAGCAGTGATCAGGCGACGGCTGCGCTGAGTCTCGCTGGACTGTGGTCACCCAACGGTCTACATGGGCACATCCCAACACTTTGGTTCAGTCCTGGTTCAGTCCTGGTTTAGTCCTGGTTTAGTCCTGGTTTAGTCCTGGTTCAGTCCTTTTTTTTTCTTTTTCTGTCAGATTATTCAGATCTCGGGCGCGTGGGGCTGAGCGGACGATGGACTCTTCGCTGAAACGTGAATGAACAGATTTGAATAAAGTCAGTGGAGAGTTTTTGTTGGAAATGAAATATGCAAAAGAGAAAAGAAGGAAACACGGAGCTCCGGAAAATCCCAGAGTGTGGCTTTAGGGCAGTGACATGTTTATCAGAGTCGAGCGGCAGGAGGAAGTAGGTCTGGTTTGGTTTTGGGTTCGGTCTCTTTGTTCGTTCTCGTAGGTAAATTTGTTTTGCAGATATGAAAGGCCGGAGCCACGTTTCACTTTTCACTCTCCGACTCGAGCAGCTACAGCAAAACTAAAGAAACTATTTACACAACAACAATTCATCAAAAAAACAAACAAAAAAAAACAAAAAAACTACCTAATTCATCTTAAATATTTAAAATCCGTGTGTCAGTCGTTCATTCGTTTTTTTTAAATAAAATAAAAAATAAGAAAATGAAAAAAACAACACTTTTCTTCATTATTTGTCTCCAAAACCAAAACGAAAAAACAGATTATGATTTTTGATTTTGTGTTTAAATGAAAAATGGAAAAAAAACAGGTAATGGACTAAACCAGGACTGAACCAGGACTAAATCGTTTTCAGTCCTGGTCTGGTCCTGGTCTCAGTCCCGGTCTTGTTGCAGTCTCAGTTACGGTCTCAGTCCTGGTCTCCTGGTCTGGTCCTGGTCTGGTCCCAGTCTGGTCCCGGTCTCAGTTACAGTCTCAGTCCTGGTTTGGTCCTGGTCTCGGTCCCGGTCTGGTCCGGTCTCAGTTACAGTCTCAGTCCTGGTCTGGTCCTGGTCTGGTCCCGGTCTCGGTCCCGGTCTCAGTCCCGGTCTGGTCCCGGTCTCAGTCCCGGTCTCAGTCCTGATCCTGTTCTCGGTCTCAGTTCCGGTCTCAGTTTTGGTCCTAGTCCCAGACCCAGTCTTGGTCTGGTCCCGGTCTAAGTCCTGGTCTGGTCCCGGTCCTGGTTCAGTCCTGGTTCAGTCCGTTAATAATTTTTTCCATTTTTCATTTAAACATAAAATCAAAAACTGAAAAAATAAATCGTTATCAGTTTTTTCATTTTGTTTTTATTTTGAAAAAACAAATGAAAGAATGAAATGCGGATTGTTTAAATCAAAATTCATTCTTTCTAATTTCCATAAATACAAGATTTCAAATTCATCAGGATCATTTTGATTATTTTAGGTTGCGTTACTTGATCGTGTGTTTTTATTGTGAGTCCAGCAGAGGGCAGCAGAGTCTTTCACACGTGTCCAGCTTAAACATCAGGTTTTACTGTTTCACTGTTTTACTCTCATTAAAAATAAAAACATTTACAGCCAAAATGACCTGATGCCCTGTTTTTTCCCCCAGTTAAATAAAAATAATAATAGTCCACGTGTTTTGAAGTGAAATGTCTGAAGAATGCAAAAGAAGATGATGAAGATGATGATAAAAAAAATAATGAATATAATAATAGTTTTTGTTCGTTCGACCGGATTGATGTTTACACGGATGTTTTTATGTTCTATTGTAAAAGAAAATAAAACTGCCCCAATAAATATGTACAAATGAAAGAAAATGATAAAATAAAATCAAATAAAAAAATAAATAAAATACATGACATCCAACTTTATAACGTACCCTTATTTGTTGTATTTTATTATATTTTATTTAAATATAAGTATTTTATTCAGTATTTTCATTTTATTTAATTTTAATTTACTTTATTTAATTTTATTTAAATATAAGTATGTATTCATTATTTTCATTTTTTTTAAAAATTGAAATTTAATTTAATTGTATGTATTTATTCATTATTTTTATTTATTTTTATTTAAATATAAGTATTTATTCAGTATTTTCATTTTATTTTATTTTTTGTATTATATTTTATTTTATTTAAATGTATGCACTTATTCATTATTTTTATTTTATTTTATTTAAATGTATGTATTTATTCATTATTTTCATTTTATTTTAGTTTACTTTATTTTATTTAAATATAAGTATGTATTCATTATTTTCATTTCATTTTATTTTATTTGTTTAATTTAATTTAATTGTATGTATTTATTCATTATTTTTATTTTATTTTATTTAAATGTAAGCATTTATGCAGTATTTTCATTTTATTTAATTTTTTAAATTATATTTTACTTTATTTAAATGTATGCACTTATTCATTATTTTTTATTTTATTTTATTTACTTTGTTTTCTTTTATTTTATTTAAATATAAGTATTTATTCATTATTTTCATTTAATTTTATTTTATTTACTCGTTTGTTTATTTCCGGGGATGTGGGGGCGGGGCTTGCGGTTTCCATGGCAGCGGGCGCAGTGATTGACAGCAGCTTAACCCGGTTTAGGGCAGAGCGCGTCTTGAGTTTACGGAGCAAAAAAAGAAAACGACAAAAACGAGCGACAAAAAACACAAACCACATCTCAGAGGAAAACAAACTCTAAACTCACTTTCCTGGAGACGGTTTGAGGATTTACGCTTCTGTTAAAGTTTGTCTGAGGAGGAAGAAGAAACGGGACGAGTCCAAATGTCCAGAGGAAGAAACTGAGACAAACACGTGACGAACCCGGATTATCCAAGTATGTCCCGCACTTTAAACCGCATTTAAAACTCAACTATGTCCCGCACTTTTGTTTTACATCAGGTTTAGATTCTACTTCGTGTACTTCAAATACTGTTGTCCAGGGAAAATCATGAGGGAGAACAGTTCGTTGTTTTGAATTGTGTCTCGCGAACATCATTTTAACCATTTTAAAGTTATTATTATTTTTATTTTATTTTTTTTAATGTAATTTAATTATTTTTCAGACAAAAAATGAAAAAGAAAAAAAAAAAAAAAAAAAAAAGAAGGAATTTATTTATTTATTTATCAGAACTAAACAAGGTCTAAAACAGGACTAAACCAGGACTAAACCGGGTTTAAACCAGGACTAAACCAGGTCTAAATCAGGTCTAAACAGGGACTAAACCAGGTTTAAACGAGTAAAAATAATTATATAATAATAATATGTGTGTGTGTGTGTGTGTGTGTGTGTGTGTAAAAAAAAAAAGAAAATCAGAACATTTAAAAATAATCAAATTGACAAAATACAATGATTCTTTGCAAATTTTTTAAACCAGAAATGAAAAAAACAGATGTGATGTCCCACGGGAAAAATCCAACTGTGTCACGATTTCACTCCAGTCACCTGCTGAGAGTAGAACCTACCCCCCTGTACCCCCCTGTGCCCTTGTGCCCTTGAGCAGCACACACACAGAGTGCAGGTGTGTAGTTGTTGTTGTTGTTGTTGTTGTTGTTGTTGTTGTTGTTGATGTTGTTGTTGTTGTTGTTGTTGTTGTTGTTGTTGTTGTTGTTGTAGTTGATGTTGGGGCTGGGCAGAAGCAGGTCAGACTGTTTCTGTGGATTTAATCTCACTGACGGAATGTGACCTGAACCAGGATTAAACACCAGATTATTTTACAACATCTGCACCGCAAAACACTACTGCAGCTACTAGTACTACTACTACTACTACTACTACTACTACTACTACTACTACTACTACTACTACTGCTACTACTACTACTACTACTACTGCAGCTACTACTACTACTACTACTACTACTACTACTACTACTACTACTACTGCTGCTACTGCACTACTGCACTACTGCTACTACTACTACTACTACTGCTACTACTACACAATACATGTACTACTACTGCTACTACTACTACTACTACTACTACTACTACTACTACTACTACTACTACTACTACTGCTACTACTACTACTACTACTACTTACTACTACTACTACTACTACTACTACTACTACTACTGCAGCTACTGCAGCTACTGCTACTACTACTGCAGCTACTACTACTACTACTGCTACTTTTACTATTAGTACTACTAGTACTACTTCTACTGCTGGTGGCAGTAGTTCAGTTGGCAGTGTTGGGAGTAACGCGTTATAAAAGTAACGAATTACAGTAATGCATTACTTTTTGCTGTAACGCAGTAATGTTCGGCATCACAGGGGAAAAAATAGTATATTTTTACTCGGTACAAATGTGAGTAACGCACGTTACAATGTTTTTTTAACCTGGATTGAAGTGGTGGGTTTTTCTTCATACAAATCACCTCGATATCAGCAGCGGTGAAACGCCGGAGATGCTCCTCGTAGACCTTCAGTTAACCGCGGGCGAAAGGACCGACAAAGAACTCCACACTGTTTAGACCTGGTTTAGACCTGAGTCAGTTCTGGTTTAGACCTGGTTTACACTCGTCCCTCCCTCTATCGCAGTTCACTTTTCGCTTGTCTCGCAGATTTTTATTTATTTTTTTTTTTTTTTGTGCAATTTTGCATGCCCTGTTTTTTTTTACATTGTATGAATGTGTATTATGTTCCTCCCGCTGCGTCCTGACTGGCCAAGGGACTCCTGTCTCCTGTACAGTACAGAATGTGTTCAGCTGCCAAATTTAAATACATGTTCAGTCTGTATCAGTGTGATTCTGAAGTGTTGTACGGTTGCAAGTTTTCTCCCCGACGAAACCCACAACGTCGACGAAACGTTCTGCACCGACAAAGTCTCCTGCGCTCACACCCAAAAGGCAGAGGAAGATGCAAACCATCACACAAAAAGTTGGACTTCTGGACACGCTGAAGGAAGGTAGAAGTTACGCGCTGTAACAGACTCTTGCACCGGCTCGGGAACCTGCAAATAGTTGCTGAAATCAGGGCCGCGAGCCCGAGCAGCAGGGTCCATAAAGAACGACCGGGTGACAGCCGCTCTTACCTCCGTGAGGTGTGGAGCAGAGCCGCTCCTTTCTCCTGCGTCACCTTCGAGCCCGTCCTGACAGTGAGTCCTGTTTTTAGTCCTAGTTCACTTCTGGTTTAGTCCTGGTTCAGCTCTGGTTTAGTCCTGGTTTAGACCTGGTTTAGTCCTGGTTCAGTCCATATACAGCGCAAAAGTTATTTTGGTGAGAGTAACTTAAAGTAATGCAATAGTAATGTAATGCCTTACAATTTAAATG